CTGAAGAAGAGATGGCTGAGAGAGGACCTGATCAGTGTCTATAAGTACCTTAAGTGAGGGAGTGAGGTGGTGGGGGCCAGCCTCTTTTTGGTGGTGGCCAGCTACAGAACAAGAGGAAATGGCCACAGACTGAAGCATGAAAAAATGCACAGGAATCTAAAGAAAAAAATATTGGTAGTGAGGGTGACAGAGCACTGGAACAGGCTGCCCAGAGAGGTTGTGGAGTCTCCTTCTCTGGAGATCTTCCAAATCTGCTTGGATGCAGTCCTGTGCCACGTGCTCTAGGTGACCCTGCGTGTGCAGGGGGGTTGGACTAGATGATCTCTAAAGGTCCCTTCCAATCTTAAGGATTCTATGATTCTACAAGAAATGAACACTGCTGAAATGGTTATATTTTGGCTATTCCACCTTCTGCTCTGTTTACTAGATGAAGTTTATTCATAAAATTATCTCTTGGGGGAAAAAAAAAGAAAAAAAACCCTCAGATTCAGACATTAGCATTATTACTTCTACAACCACTACAGTTAATCCTGATATCTACCTCGATATGCTTCAGCATGGCCGTCCATGTAGCCATCATCATCATCCTCTTGGGGGTGTATACAAATAGCAGTGTGATATAAATTTACCAGTAAATACTGTAAATAGTTACTGTAAAATTGTGAATATTTAATATTTTTATCAATAATTAAATATTAAATATTTTAGAATTTTAGAATTTAGAATAATATTTATATATATTGAAAACTACATTAATGTTATAGCAGAAACATTTGCTTTCTGCAATTAAAACAAGAAATATTATTTTGAAAATGGCCCCATTAAATCCCTTTATTTTCTATCCAGGTGTCTGTGGAGTTTGTGGCTGCCTTCTAACCATTATGCCCTTATGAGGCATCAGCTAACAGCCACTTTAAATTATCATTCCATTTTTATGAGCATTTATATGTATGTATATATACGCACACACAGTGTTATAGAGTACTATATTCCAAATTCTGCCTGACTATAATTCAGCCATATTTCTCAACAATTTCTCAAATGCCCATTTCTCAACAATTTTAGATGAATTTTGTCCCAGAAGACAGATGAAACAGACTTTAAGTGAAAACCACTCTGGCTCAGTTGTACAAAATGAGTGCAATATACATAGCACAGAAAAAGACCCATCAGGACGAAGACCTTTATGATGTACATAATGTTTATTCACTATCTATCTCTAGGTATACCATCTGTATATACCATCTATATACCATCTCTAGGAATGTCAAGGAAAAGAAGGTGATCAGGACTAGTCAGCATGGATTCACCCAGGGGAAGTCATGTCTGACGAACCTGATAGCCTTCTGTGATGAGGTGACTGACTGGATGGACGATGGGAGAGCTGTGGATGTTGTCTACCTTGACTTCAGCAAAGCTTTCGCCATGGTCTCCTGTAACATCCTCATAGGAAAGTTTAGGAAATGTGGACTGTGAAGTGGATTGAGGACTGGCTGGATGGCAGAGCCCAGAGGGTGGTGATAAATGCGACAGAGTCTAGTTGGAGGCCTGTGGCCGATGGTGTCCCCCAGGGGTCAGTACTGGCCCTGGTGCTGTTCAACTTGTTCAACAATGACTGGGCCTGGGCGAGCACACAGGGTGTACCCTCAGCAAGCTTGTGGATGATACCAATCTGAGAGGAGCGGCCAACACTCCCGAGGGCTGCGCTGCCATTCAGAGAGACCTAGACAGGATGGAGAGTTGGGCAGAGAGGAACCTTATAAGGTTCAACAAAGACAAGTGCAGGGTCCTGCACCTGGGGACGAATAACCCCAGGCACTAGTACAGATTAGGGGTTTACCTGCCTGCAGAGAGGGATTTGGGAATCCTGGTTGACAACAAGTTAACCATGAGTCAGCAATGTGCCCTCATGGTCAGGAACGTCAATGGGATCCTGGCCTGCATCAGGAGGAGCGTTGCCAGCAGGTCGAGGGAGGGGATCCTGCCCCTCTCCTCAGCTCTGGTGAGGCTGCACCTGGAGTATTGTGTCCAGTTCTGGGCTCCCCGGTACAAGGACATTGAGCTTCTAGAGAGGGTCCAGCGTAGAGCCACGAAGATGATTAAGGGCCTGGAGCATTTGTCATATGAGGAAAGACTAAGCAAGCTGGGCCTGTTTAGCCTGGAGAAGAGAAGGCTGAGAGGAGACTTGATCAACACGTTCAAGTACCTGAGGGTTGATTGTAGGGAGGATGGGGCCAGGATCTTCTCCGTGGTGGCCGGTGACAGGACAAAGGGTAACAGGTGCAAGCTGAAACACAGGAAGTTCCACCTTCATATGAGGAAGAACCTATTTCCTGTGAGGGTGACAGAGCCCTGGAACAGGCTGCCCAGAGAGGCTGTGGAGTCTCCTTCTCTGGAGATCTTCAAAACCCGACTGGATGCCACCCTGTGCCCCATGCTCTAGGTGTCCCTGCTGGAGCAGGGGGTTGGACTAGATGATCCCTAGAGGTCCCTTCCAACCCTAAGCATTCTGTGATTCTGTGATTATAGAAAGGTGTTAGCTATCAAGATGAAGTAACTTCCCCTTCATACAGAGCCAGTATTGACACATTTTTCTTCCTTTTGCTATAAGCTTTTGCCCACATAGTGTTAGAGCTTTAAATTAGATAAACGTGTGAGATCATGTCAAAGATGCATTTTGAATAGACTACTAAAAATACTATACTAAAGACCAGTGTTCCAGCTATGGTACAAAGTATTTGTAGATGATTATGAAAATGCTTCATCCTTTTTCTTGGGTGGTCCGACTAGCTCTGTAGCCAGCTCTTCTCAATAATCTGTACTTTTGCCAGGAGACACATGCCAGCAAATGGGGTAAAGTCCAGCAGCAGGGGGCAAAAAGGCAGCTCTAGGCAGTGTGGAAAAACATCACCTGAGGATGCATCAGAAGCGTGTGGCAGACAGAGATGCCTACTCCAGGGGAAAATATCATCAAAAAATACATTAACTGATAACGCCAAGTAATCTTTTAAGTGCAGCTGACTGAAAAGCAGCAATGGCAAATAACTGAACTTGCTTTTCATATAACAAGAACTAGCAGGCCTCCATTATGGTTTTTTAGCAATTAAATACATTGTTATTAACGGAGGTAAAAGTTCAGGTAATTAACAGTAAATTTGCATGCACGGTGGGAATGTTGTACCCTTAGGAATCAGCGTTGACCTGAAGTTGTCTCACTAGCTGAAAACAGAGCTGTGAGAGCATTAACTAAAAACATAACAAAAACGAGTTTCCTTAGCCACAGTTCGGCAGTAAATGCTGTTTTTGTCAGTAGTGATAAAAGAGAGACAATCCCAAAGCCACAAACGAAGCTGCACATAAGGACCCCGTCACTTCATCAACACCACAGAGGCTAAAAATGAAGTACAAATCTTATTTTTAGTGATACACAGGTTTTTTTTTTTGGCACCACCAATCCAAATTCTGTTCAAAGACTTGGGCTAAAACTGCTCCAAACATCAGGCCCTCAAAAACTGTGTAAAACAAAGCAGAAATAGTAAAGATATAACCTGCTAAGCCGAAAGCCTGAACCACACAATTCCCATTTGCAAGAAGAGGTAATGGTGAGAAACTGTCATTAAAAAGAAGAACCTGAACTGATGAAATATGACAAGTACGGGAACATGAGCTTTTGTTGAAGGGTGTATTTTTGTTATTACTGCGTAACATAAGCATTTTAGATACAAAAAAAAAAAAAAAGCTTTAGCATGCATTGAAAGAAGGGAAAGGAAGTGTGCGAAGGTGGCTTCAATCCTGCTGTAGTATTTCTGCTGTAACTTGGCCTCACCATGTCCCACAGGTCCAAAAACCGAGCAGCTCAGCACAGCTGGCGTGCGGTCCTGGCTCTGCCACACACCTGAACAAGGTAAGTAAGGAGCTGCAAAGACTCAACATGTGTTATTCGTGCCATTAACCCATCCTGCAGCACACTGCGCCAATGCCATCGTTTCAAAGCAGGTTTTAGCTACAGGAATAGAGAGGCAAACACACAGTCCAGTCCTCCCACACGGGGTCGGGGGGGAAGTAACATGGGGCCAAGGGGAAACACGAAGGGCTCGGGTTTCACCCAGCCGTAGTGGATAAGGAGCACTGGCGAACCGTGGAGCTGCTTCCTAGCAGCTTTACCTTTGGGACGCTCTACCACGCCCAAATTTCGGGATTTTGGCTGTGGAATTTCGGCTGAAATATATATGTTTATATATCTCCTTTTTGTTATGCTTTCAACAAGAAACCTATTCGAAACTGGCCGTGCTCGCAGGCTCTCCCAGGGGAGCAGCAGGAAGCGGCGGCCGCGCCGG